ACCGTGACGTTGCAGGGTACCTGCGCGCGGCCACGGGGGACTGACGCCAGGTTCCCCAGCCGCCCGGTTCCCCAGCTGCCCACAATGACTTTATTTTCTTCCCCAATTTCCCACCCCCACCCACCTAATTCGATGAAGGCTGCCAACGGGGAGTGGCGGAAAGCCTGTAAGCCTACAAGCCTGTCTGAGACTCGCAGGAAGGAGGAGCCGACCGGGAATAACCTTCCATACATTTTTTTCTTTGTCTGGATCTGGCCCTCGATACTCACCATGAAGCCAAACACAGAGACGCAGATTTCCAGGGATATTTAGGAGTGTGTGACGTTCCAGAGGTTTTTCTGAGGGAAAGTGCATATGAAATCCTTGACCGGCCCTGGTGGCTACGGAAGAATCTTCCGATGGAATGACTCCAGCGCCCAGCGGGAGAAGGCAGTGATTGGCATTTGGGTGGGGGCAGTCGATGCGTTCACTCCACTGTCTGCTGAGGAGTTAAGGCGAACCCACAAGTTAGGCCCTAGAGGCAAAAAGGAAAACCTGAAGACTGAGGACAAAGTGGACGAGGGCAGAGGTGGGCTTCAGTAAGTGCCCGGCGGCGCTTTAGTTTGTGTGCATGGCAAGTAACACGCGAAACGACACTCTCTGGAAGCCCTGGAGACCCGCACCCAACTCCACCAGATAGCAGAGGGGTAAGAGAGGATGTGCAAGCCACGACAGATCCTAAAATCCCTGGATCACGACGCCGCAGAGCACCTTTGCAGAGGGTGCTGGCCTTTGCTCTAACTACACTGAGGTTCCCGCGGCGTTCCGGAGGCAGACTCCACAGGATGAGGTGGTGGAATGGAGTGAAAGCAATTTTAACGGTTAACTGTAACGTTTTCTTTCATACACACACACACACACACACACACACACACATGCTAGGATGCGGAAATCGCCTTGTGACTTGCTGCTTTTTGATTTTGTGATATTTTGTACTTTTTAGTTGTTCAGCAACTGTCTTATTTAATGGGGAGATTTTAAGTAACATTATAACTGGTGGCTCTCAGTTAAAATGTGAGGAAGAACTACAGCTCTTAAATGTAGCAATGGCGCTGTAGCAAACTCAGTGCAAATGCCTAGATTGCTTTCTTCTTAACCTATTTATTTCTTTGTTAAATGTTTCTGATTGTTTCCTTTATAGAGTGTCTCAGGGTGCAGAGGTCAGACTAAGAAATATCCCAAATGTCTTTTAGAAGATAGATGCACGTATGCAGTAAATTGTCTTGGCATATTTCCCAAAAGATTGCTGAAAAAATAGATTGACTATAAAAACTTGAAAATATGTGATGGCTCATGGGATGTCCTACTATCTCCTGAACAATCTAAAGGTGCACTGCTTTGGGATTTAATTTCCAGGGTTGCTTTATCATTATATCACCGGAACTGATACTTCACTGCTTTCATAAAGAATTAACAGAGATTGAACTCCAAGAGGTGGGTAATTTGGTTTAAAAATATATGTTCATGGATTTACCACTAACTCCTGAGAAATGTTAAAGGTTCACAGGGGTTCCCTTCTCTCAACATTTGTAATAATTGCTCAGAAGCAATACCAGCAATTCATAAAAACTGCTTACATATGCCATAGAAAATTAAACACAAAATTTATACATGTATTATGCATCTAAATGCTCATTCCACTAGATACACATTTAAAAGATAAAAAAGGAACAGAAAAAAGTAATTTGAGAGTGGAGACTTATAAGAAGGAGTACATCTAAGTTGAATACACAAATCTTTACTTCTCTACCAATTCCTATTCCCAAAGTGAACATATTACTGGGGAAAGTTAGTTGAGAATCAGATCTTATATTATTGGGGAAAGGATATATTTATTGACACATAATCTGTACCAGGTATGCATTAAAATATATTTGTTCATTTAATACATAAACCTGAGAGGTATTGTTTCCCAGATGAGGACAATGAGGCAAAGAAATATCAAATAACTTGCCAAAGATCACAAGATATTCATTCCATGGGTGCACAAAGTAAGTGCATCTAGTTCCAAAGCTGATTATGGTTGTCTTGCTTTTCTTCCCGTTGCACCAGCTTGTCCTCCAAAATCAATGATACACATGAACTTAAAAAAAAAAAAAAAAAAAAGCAGAAATACACAGTGATCTCCCTTGTAAGTTCCTAAGGAGGCTTTTCTTTCTCTAACTTCTAGTGAATATAAACAGCTTGTTTGAAAACTATTTTAAAATGTCAACAATATGGAGAATACCCCCCCAAAAAAACACCTATAAGAACCCAAATGTTTGGAACAAAGATTATGGAACCTCCATTTCCAAACTGAAGCACAGAGACAGAAAATATATTTCTAGTTATCACTTAAGCACTCAATCATTAGAGGTTACAAGAATAATATTTTTAAAGTGACAGTATTTTACAATTACTAGAAAACATTCTATGTAAAGGAAGTCAGTTGATAATTTAAAATCTCCCGTTTGATTTATAAAATCCCTTAATTTGACCTCTATATCTTAAATTCCAAGACGTTTAAATTTGTTAGTTGCATTATACTGGGTCATGAAAAATTATCCCTTGAAATAGATATGAAACATGTTACTTCATTTCTAGTTTAAATAACTTGTGGAATCTTTCCTAATGACAACCTGATATTAAGGGAAACTAAAGAAAATGCTATTGTGGATCCCACAGTACTATATTACACTGCTTTTTGGTTTTGTTAGGTTTTTTTCTTGGGGGGGGGCGGGTACAAACCTAAAACATTATTGGGTATCAATTACCACATGGTTGTATTGAAATAGTAACTCATCGATGCCATGTAAAAATTAATTCCATATTCGAAGCCACCTGGCAGACAGGTTTAGCTGTTTCATCAGCAGCCTAATATATACTGTTAAATTTGTTAAGGATTTCACTTTGAAGGATACATGCAAAAACATATAGTTACTGTTTTCATGAGTCCTGCTTCTGGCTCCATTGTGGAATTACAGAAAATTAAATATACCTGTTAAGTTTGTATCTAAGTCTAAGACATTACCAAGGTTTATACAAATTCTACTGACATTTATTCCAAGAAGATCTGGAAAGTGAAATAAATTTATAAATTTAATAACATTCATTTGGCTTCATTTTTGTCTTTTTCACCTAAGTGGATTAATTTTTTAAAGGGTATTTTGCTATTAAATCAAAATTATGTAAAATTTCCTGTGCCTTAAATGGTTAAAATTAGTAATTTCATAACTAAGGAATGAAACAGTTTCAAGAGGAGAGCTCAAGACTGATAAAACCCCAAATGCCTCTAGGAAAATCTATACTTAGGAATACTTTCATATTTCATTTCCCTAGTATGGCAAACACAATATTGTGTCCAGGGCCAAATAATTTATCGTATGAAGCTAGGTAACTGACCTTCAGCAAATATATGCAAAAACTAATTTCATTTACACTTACATTGAGATTGCCTTCCCTTTTTTGAAAATATTAAAAACACACTGTGTGCATTGATATGTGATAAGTCAGTAGGGTTCTTTTTTTCTTTTTGCTGACTCTATAATTACTCCCTCAATTATTTTAAACAGTGAAAAATATACTCATTTTCTTTTTATGCTTTACCAGAGATGGATTTTTTTAATCATAGGGCATAATTTTTACAATGTTCAATACATTGCCACTCTATCAAAAGTGGAGCAAGTAGAACTAATGATATGCAAAACTTAGAGACGTTATCTGAAGAAGCACTCATGTGAATTCCCTTCTGCGGCAAATGTGAAAGCCAGTATCTTCTAAAGTACAGTGAAGTCTGCCCTCATGTTTTATGTCAGCAACTAATCATAACCAAATTCTGACACGTTTACTAGATTTTCAGTATTAACAGAAACTGTTTAGTTATTTGATGAAAACTTGGAAAATAATGCTTAGGTTGGTGTAATTCACGGTGTTCAACTACTAAGCTACAAATAGATACCTAGATACACAATCACATATATATGAAAATAAGACAATTTTAATTTTAGAAATTACTTAAAGGAGCAACAGTTGAGCCTCAACACTTTCAGTATCTTCCTATTCTACTCATAACGACAGGAAAGGAAGAGGGAATGAAGAAAAGTGAAACTAGGACTTGACTGGAAGATAGAAGACCTAGATTCCCACATTGGTTCCTTAACTAATTCAATATATGAGTGCTAACTCATGTAACATCTCTACTACTATCCTTCATACCTGAAAAGTTTCTATAAAACTTTTCTCAATTTCAGCTATCCACATGAAATTACTCCTTTCTTGCCTCTTAAATTCCCTACTCAGGAGATTTTAATGTCATTCCTTTTATAAGGAAAAAAATACTTCATTTTACAGAAACACAGTAACTTTCAAACATAGGCCCTATTAATTACATAATAAAAGAAAATTTGAACTAATACTAGTGCCACTAATTAATAATATGTAACTGGCACGGAGTGTACATTAAGCACATTAATTGTAAATTAATGTGTGGGTCAAAAAGCACCAAGTCTGACTTACTAATTTGCAGTGTGAACTAAATGTAAAACAAAGAGTTTGCTGGAAAAAGAACTAAGAACAATGTATTAAGATGACACGCTGACTACCTCACAGCTATTCACATTACACTAGAAGTTTACAAAGGACCCCAAACACCTACTAATCCACTTCCCACTCAGAAGCCCCTGGCATTAGACTTCCAGTAGGTATAAGGAGTCAGCTCTGGCACAGAAAATATTTTACAACAGAGTTCCACTCAAAACTTTAAGACCAATTATAGTAAATAAACCATGTCTTATTTTTTATATTTGGCCTCCTCCCCAAATGCATAATCTATCTATCATCTCATTATCAGTGCTCTGTATTATGATGTTGTTGGGGCTACTTCCTCTAAACCCTGTCTTA